TGAGAACTGGCCAAGTTAGACCTTAGGCTACAGTATATTATCGTAAGTTATAAGAAGAAATGATATTTTATATTGTTATAAATACATTTCAGGACAGACCATTGAACTTGGCACCCATTTAGATCTCATCTCTTTTGTCGTAGAAGTCAACAATCAAGGCATATATCATAATATTAAACTCGGCTATCATTTCACATTTATGTTTTTGAAGGGATTTTATATACTGTTTTAAGTTTGACGCAGTCATTATTTATAAGTATAATTAGTTAATTTCGGGATCTTACAACGTTTTATTTTTTTTGAGCTTTCATTTTTAAAATACTATCAGTTAAGTTTCCTGAGACAGAATAAGTGGTAGAATAAAAAAAGTATGACTGTTCAACACTGCTTAAATTTAAGTTTATTTGAATAAAAAAAATCTATTTCTATTACATAAAAGAGCAACACGCAAGTTCCTTGCTCGTTCTTCTTGTGATAAGACTGTTTTCCTAATGAGCGGTAAATTAAAAAATAAATTAATTAATAAATTTAATAAAATAAAAAATATATTAATTAAAAAATTATGATGACTACTCAAAAATGCTATGTAAGTTTATTTGAATAAATAATTTTCTATTCTATTCTATAAGCTGTTATTTAGTTACCTATTACATTTACTTAGTTACCTAACTGTTATTTAGTTACTTCAGTTACAGTTATTTAATACCTGTTATTAATTACTCATGGAAGTAAGTAGGTATGTTCAGAGAATCGATGATTATTTTTAGTTGCAGTGCGTGGGACGCTATAAGTCATCACTGACTCATTACTAACCCTTCATACAATTTGCCGTACAAGTCATACAATCTTTGGACGTTAGCAATTTAATTGACTGAGTTACTTTATAACGATCACTATAGTGTTTTAATGATACTGAATGTACGTAGATTTATGTTTAACAAAACTTGTATCACACATGTTTACTCACGTTTCATCTATACAGATAAATAAAATTTAAGTGTCTGTTTATAATTTCAAATTAACAGCGTTTCAATATCAATTGCTCATTCTTCTTGTGATGAATCTGCATTCCGAATGAGTGGTAGAATCAAAATATGACTATTCAAAAGTGCTTGTAATGAGTTTATTTGAATAAAGATTATTTCTATTTCTATTTCAATAATTGCATATGAAAATATATACAGTATTTGCATAAAAAAACTATACAATTTTTTTCTGTCTGTTTGCTCTTGCTAATCTCTGAAACGGCTGTACCGACTTTGAAGGGTCTTTTACTCACAGATAGAAAGAAACCTATATGTAAAACAAAACTTTTGCCTGCCATCATCAAATTTTTTTATTATTTATTTAATTCAATATTCCAATACTATAACAGCAAGCAAATATAAATCTAAATGAATGTATCATAATCTACTCAATTCAAAACATATGCAGAATGGAATAGAATAGAAAATCCTTTATTCAAATAAACTTTATTTAAGCACTTTTGAATAGCCACAGATTATCTTTCTATTCCACTACTTACATTACACAAAAGTCAAAGTCTTTCTATCAACACTTTTTTATCCTTATATATTTTTCTTCTATTTATCACACATACTTATAATTCATCCATTTAACTGATTCTTCATTTTATATATTTAAATTCATCACGAATGCTATTTCTTTTTTTCAAGTGGCTCCACTGAAAATCAGCGCTGTAGTGACACGCTGCGGCACCAACTGAGTGGAAGCCTTTTCAGCATAGACGATTATTAGTTTTTAAGTTTTCTTTTTTACTCTGTACTCTTTTTTATGCTGAATAAATGATTATTATTATTATTACTCCAGTTCTCCACAAATCTATATTTTAGAATTAAATTTTACATGCCTCATTGGCTCTATTTACTATATTATTTATAATCTACCGCTCATTCGGAAAGCTGTCTCTTCACAAGAAGAACGAGCAACAGACGCGATCCAAATTAACTATTTAAGTATATTTAATAAAATCAATATATTAATATGTCATATCAAAGTAAACACGTTGGGAGCTCATGCGCGCGCGCATATGCGCGTAAGGTCGCCAGTATAGCAATGACCCGTATCGCCATATAAAGTGGCGTTGCGAAAACCCACCTTCCCGAAGAACATCTGTTCTGAGACCTCTAGAAGGCTGTTCAACTACCTACGTTGCCTCTAGAAGATTACAAGGTCGGAAATCCGGAGATCATTTCCTGATCTTTTTATATAAAATGATAATAGTTATTAAGATTAATCTGACATACAGTGACATGTTATGATAAGGATCAATCCTTTAAATCTGTTTATTTTGCTGAATAATATAATAGAAATATATATAATCTTTATTCAAATAAACTTAATATAATAACTTTTAAATAGTCATATATTTATTTAGTTCTCCACTCATTCGGAACGCAGACTTAACACAAGAAGAACGAGGAAGAAGGTAGACAACCTTCTTCCTCGTTCTTCTTGTGTTTTGCTATTTCAAATAAACGTTCTTTTAAGTAAATACACAGTATTTTATGTATACAGTATACAAAAGTTTATATTAATGCATGTCATGCGAGGAATCGAACCAGCGACCATCGGAACTAAATCGGTGCTTTTGTTCCGGTAGAATGCTAGGTTACTGAGGCCGTCATATAAATGAAGACGTAAATCATAAATCATGAAAAATATCCACAGTGTCTCAAACAAACTAGACACACTTTACATATCAATAGAGAATGCCGGGTAGCGTAATTAGTACTAATAAAATGTCAATGTCATAATGTCAACTTAAGTGGTACGACATAAGGCTGAAATCAATAACTCAATTAAAACTAGACAGTTTTAAGATAGAATGATGTTTCTACACAGACACCTCTTAGCAAATTATACAATGCTACTTATTGTGTGGGACACGTCACAGGCTCTAAGCGATTTCCAATATATATAACACAAAGGTGACTGACATAGTGATCTATCAACGCATAGCCCAAACCACTGGACGGATCGGGCTGAAATTTGGCATGCAGGTAGATGTTATGATATAGGCATCCCCTAAGAAAGGATTTTGATTAATTCTACCCCTAAAGGGATAAAATAGGGGATGAAAGTTTGTATGAAACTTTGTCAATTTTAAACCGATCGGGCCGAGACTTTGCATACAATAAGCTACTATGACGTAAGCATCCCCTAAGAAAGGATTTTGATAAATTGCACCCCTAAGGGAATAAATTAACACGATCGAAGCCGCGGGCAAAAGCTAGTATGGTATATTTTTATAGTAGAAGACCAAATAATCTCGCGGCGCATGTATTGTGAAACGATTAACGCTCCCAATGAACACAATGCAACACTAGAGGATTTTTAAATGAATTGACGCTATATTAAAGATAATGAAGAATGGATTTCTAAACATTTTGTTTCGTAAAATGATCCGACTTGTATCTTTCCAAAATCAACGAGACTTTTTATCATTTTTATTCTAGTATTTTTTTTCATTATCAACCCGATACTTTACTCTTAATCGACAGACGACCTTGGAAATCTTAACGGAGAATCGAAGCCACTTGAGACTTCAAAGTCTTAGCCACCATACTAAGTAATACAGGTAAGACATTATTTATAAATTCACTAGCGAGGTGTAATACCGAAATTTTCAAATTGTAATTTCTTTAACAGTTTTTACAACTTTTTACAAACGTCAACAGCCTATCACTTGCACCACATATCAACCATTGACCAACAAACAAGCTGTAAGTGACAACAATTGTGCAATTACAATCAATCGCTTGTAATTGAAAAGTTGTGAACAGAGAATTAGTATGTACTAACGTTGTAAGAGTAACGACAAATTGAGTACCAGACATACTAGTTACTAAACCAAGTTGTATTCGTTACTACAGTATCATTACGTTACTAGTTTTGATACAATTGGCACTGTACCACTTCTTAGGGCTGTAATAATATTTGTTCTCGTTTTTAAAGAACACTCGGTATGTTCTAGTTTTTTTAAAACCCTCAATATGATGTATTGTTTTTTAAACAATAACTATATATAATTTCTCTGTATAATAGTCAAATTTCTATATTAGTATACTTTCCCTATATTAGGCGGAACGCGGAGAGATCTTAGAGATCAGATTTGTACGCTTTGTAAAGTCTCTTCCGAAACGGCTTGATCTATTGAGACCAAAATTTCGAAGGTCGACCTTCGGGCCTCCATCGTTTACCACTCAAAAAAGTTCCGATCGGTCAAGTTCGAGGTTTTAAGAATGAACGCGCTTCTTTTAACAGGTGACCTAGTGTGTAAACAACACACTGGCAACAAACTTAATAGTAAAAAAATTTAGATAAATTATATTGACTTCGATTTTAGTAACTACTTAAACATAACGGAGCTGATGGTAGTGGATAGGAACTGGTGGTATCCGGTTATAGCAGTTATCTAACAAATACTAGGTACACAACAGGTACCCAAAAGTAACTACAAACACAATGTAACTACAGTAACTAGTAACTTTCAAAGTAACGACATAGTTCTTCGTTACAAATGAAGAACCTATCAATTACTTTGTACTCTATACATACCGTTGGCAATAGCTCTAGTGTAGACTATAGATATGCATATATGGGGCTGTTTGCTACCACTTGTCGTTAAGGGGATTGTGAAAAGTGCGTTGATTGATTGATGGTCATTCTAATTACAGTTTAAGCAATATATATAACGTGTCGAAAAGGTTTTATTTGCATTATTAATATAGTTAAACAGGTTTTAACAATTCTATAGTATAAACAATTTATTCGTAATCAACTTCAAAAAAGAAGGTTCTAGACTCGATTGTATATTTTTATATATTTTTGTATGAAGCCTTGGAACCTATAGAATTATGTATGATGCTGATAATAATGTGTAGGCTATAATTTAAACAGATAATATGTAAAGTGTGATGCAGACGAAGCTGCGTGAATCAACTAGTATTTTACTAATTATAAGAGGTATCACTTACCAATTTAATTTCTCGATCAACAAAACACTTTATTTAACCCCCACTGTTACACTTAAACAATGAACATGTTTGTATGTTCGTATATCACATGATTAAACGTCGTAAACTTAAAAACACGTAAACTTCGGCACTGTGTTTAAGTTCCTTGTAAACCTGTAAAAAAAAAACATATATAAATATGATTGTATATTGTTTAAAAAAACCTAATAACAAAGTATATATCAACTAGCTGCTAAACTTTTTTAAAATTAAATAAATTATAATTTACTTTTTAATATTAGTTACGTTACAAAGAACGGCAGCAAGAGCAGACAGACATTTTTTTTTAAATAATAAACATATTTCTAAAACAAAGTAGTCTAAGTTATAACATTAGCTATCTGCGAGTGAAATCACGTCAAAATCGGTCCAGACGTTTCAGAGATTAGCAAGAACAAACGGACAGATACAATTTATATAATGTAAGTACCGTATACCTAAATGTATGTAACTCAAAGGTGACTGACTGACATAGTGATCTATCAACGCACAGCCCAAACCACTGGACGGATCGGGCTGAAATTTGGCATGCAGGTTGATGTTATGATGTAGGCATCCGCTAAGAAAGGATTTTGATTAATTAAGAGGAGGAGATAAAATAGGGGTTGAAAGTTTATATGAAACTTTTGTCAATTTTAAACCGATCGGACTGAGACTTTGCATGCATAAAGCTACTATGACGTAGGCATCCCCTAAGAAAGGATTTTGATAAATTCCACCCCTAAGGGGATAAAATAGGGGATAAAATTTTATATAAATCTGCTTAGATTTTCCACTGATTGAACTGAAATTAGAGATTGGAGCTACTATGATGAAGACGTTCACTTAAATAGGATTTTGATAAATTCAAACCCCATGGGGATAAAATAAGGGAAGATGCAGGATGTAAATGTATTAGTTTGAACCTATCAGTACCTAATGGAACGAATAAATTAAGACGAACAATACATATTTCTAAAATAAAAGTGGCATAAGTTACTCGTTATTACATCAAAAACAGTCCTACCTGTCAAAAAAAGTCCCGTTAAAATCGGTCCAGCCATTTCAGAGATTAGCCAGAACAAACAGACAGACACAAAAACTGTAAAAAATGTTATTTTGGTGTATATACCGTATTTATATTCATATGCATGTAGTAAAAAACGGTTATTTCAATATTACAAACAGACACTCCAATTTTATTTAAATGCATAGATGATGTTACAATTTTTTATGTCGATCAATAAGGTCAAGCATAGGTGAATGCATTTAGCCTTGGCGGTCGTCGCATCCCACGGCGAGAACTTGTTGAAATGTACAAAATATTTTAACAAATTTATTTATACCGAAACTCTGTAAAAGTATTCGTATTAGACGTCTAAATTTAAAACTGACAGACAATAATACAAACTTTCAATATACAAAATTTTACCCTTAAGGGGGCAAAATTAAATAGGAGATGAAAGTTTGTTTGGATATTCGTAATTTTTGAAGCAGAAACTTCTTTCTATTGCTTTTTTGGGTTAGATTAATAAATATTTTCTTCTTTATTTGGTCAGGATAATAGGTAAGATAACTGATACAAACACATAGATACTTTTTTTTCATAAATACATACATATTATTTCATATCTCATATTGTTTTATTCACAAGTGTAACAAATCTCGTTACACAATGGCACGTCAATAGTAATTACATATTTTTTTAAGATAATTATGTCACCATTACAATTTTAATTCTTCAATATAATATATAAAACTAATTAAAGGTCACTATTATACATAGAAAACACCCAGACCGATACAAACAATCATACTAATAATTTCAATATACAAAATTTTACCCTTAAGGGGGCAAAATTAAATAGGAGATGAAAGTTTGTTTGGATATTCGTAATTTTTGAAGCAGAAACTTCTTTCTATTGCTTTTTTGGGTTAGATTAATAAATATTTTCTTCTTTATTTGGTCAGGATAATAGGTAAGATAACTGATACAAACACATAGATACTTTTTTTTCATAAATACATACATATTATTTCATATCTCATATTGTTTTATTCACAAGTGTAACAAATCTCGTTACACAATGGCACGTCAATAGTAATTACATATTTTTTTAAGATAATTATGTCACCATTACAATTTTAATTCTTCAATATAATATATAAAACTAATTAAAGGTCACTATTATACATAGAAAACACCCAGACCGATACAAACAATCATACTCATGAATACAAATGTTTGTACCGTGCGAGATATCGAACCCGCGACCATGGGAATTAAGGCGATGTGCTAAACCGCTAGACAACCGAGGCCGTCAGATTCTATTCTATTCTAAATATACTAATCACACATTAGACCATTTCAAATTGTATCTTGCACATCCCCATACAAAACTAACCTGAAGATAAACCAAAATGGGTTCCTTATCACACGAGCGCTATAAATAAGTCCAGTAATAATGTCGGTCGCTGGCACACAAAGCTTCTTATCTAAGTAAGGAGATAGATAAACGGGGGGTCCTATAAACATTCTAACACTTTAATAGTCTAAGAATACCAAATGTAGACACTTTGTCGGCGCAACTAATGAGGGTAGTTGCAAATACGCCTTTAAACTATATAATTTAATTTATATACTGGACAATTCACACATCGCTATCTAGACCCAAACTAAACTGAGATTGCATTGTGGATACCAAGCAAATGATAAGACATTTTTTGTAAATAGTTAAGTTATAAATTTCATGATCATATTCTACACTTATTCTCCACTTTGACGACCGCAGTGGTGAAGCGGTTTAGCACACAGCTTTACTATCCGATGGTCGTGGGTTCGATTCCTCGCACGGTACAAACATTTGTATTCATAAGTATGATTGTTTGTATCGGTCTGGGTGTTTTCTATGTATAATATGTATTTATTTACATAAAAATGTATTTGTAGCAGTTGTCTAGAACCCATAACACAAGCTCTGCTTAGCATGGGACTAGACGGCGTTGTGAATTGTCCTGAGATATTATTATTATATTATTTTTCTTTTTTCCTTTTTTTTTTATCATCTTTTATAGATTTAAAAGAAGGTAATACTCACCTACACGGGCCTTAGCCAAGTGTGGGAGAGGTTGTGCTGGGTGAGGATATTGTTGAGGAGGTTAAGAATTTTCAGGTTAAGCGATTATTTTACCAATGGTTGGGCGTGCGATTCCTCGCACGGTATAAATTGTATTCATAAGACTGATTATTTAGATAGATAGATAGATATTTCATTTATCCCTATTGGTGTACTAGTTACCAACAAGTATTATGTTGAATGGAAAGGATCTCTTTCAGAGAAAATCTCAGCCTTGCTCACAATATTTCTAAATTTAAAATTTTTCTAATATTTCTAAATCTTCCACTCAAGTTTACTTCATTTTTGGTTGATTCATATAAACCGTATTAAATCTATAACGTATTAAAATGTAAAAGAAAGAAATTAAAATCGTATAAGTTGTTCTCAAGTATATATCAAGTTCAACACGACACAAGTATCACACCCAGACCGATACAAACAGTCATACTCATGAATACAAATGTTCGTGCCGTGCGAGGACTCGAACCCGCGACCATCGGACCATTTTTTTTATCAAACATGTTTTTTATGGTACATGATGACAGCCTTCCTGACAATTACATCTACTCGTACATCACCGTCGATCGGAAGGTAAATAGTAACCATTACCTATATACTTGAACAGTACAATGGACATCACATTATCATCTGTGACGCCCGTGATACCACTCATGCCTCCAATTGAAATTGTGTCTTATTCTCCTACAACTTAAATCTCAGACTACATTCTTAAGATTTCGATCTCCATCAAAACAGCGACTGCTCTTAAATAAGGACCACTTTCCCGTACGAAAATTGTTTATACAAATAGAAAATTTTCGTCTAAAAAGCGAAGGTGTCATGTCGCTTTGGACGTTGACGGCAGGTTTGCTATAGCTGGGTGCGCCGGCGCATCCCACGCGCAGCCTTGGCCGAATGTCTCACGCTACCGACCCGGGCGCATGGTTTCCGAGATACTACGGCTTATAACTTGATACCAAGAATAAGTATTGTGGTATTATTAAGGAAATAAATACATTTTATAATTTTTTTTGTACTTCAGTTTAAGTATATATTAAATAAGTGAGGGAGAAACTTTGTACCCCTTATTGCGCGGGCAGAGCAGTATGAAATTACGCACACTTACAGTACTTATATAGAAGATAAGAATTTTGATAAAATTATGCATAAAAAATAAGAAAAAACGTTACTACACGACATACGCATAGAAGTATAGGTAGTTGTACACAGGTTGCTGTGGGGTGTACACAGGTTACTGTGTGGTGTACACAGGTTACTGTGGGGTGTATACAGGTTACTGTGGGATGTACACAGGTTGCTGTGGGATGTACACAGGTTAGTGTGGATTGCACACAGGTTACTATGGGATGTACACAGGTTAGTGTGGAGTGCACACAGGTTACTATGGGATGTACACAGGTTACTGTGGGGTGTACACAGGTTAGTGTGGAGTGTATACAGGTTACTGTGGGTTGTACACAGATTAGTGTAGAGTATACACAGGTTGCTGTGGGGGGTAAACAGGTTAGTGGGGTGTACATAGGTTACTGTGGAGTGTATACAGGGTATAGAGCTGTTATTCCATTCAGCTCACGAGCACGGCTAGCGCAAGCTAGTCGAAACGTCGATTTAAGAATTACCATAAAATTATTTGTGTTAAACAACATTTAATAATTAATATAATAATATGACTTTTTATAAAGTCTACCTCGTTTTCGATTTTACGATATCTTACTAATATTATAAGCGCGGAAGATTGTGAGTGTGGATGGATGGATGGATGTTTGTTACTCTTTCACGCAAAAACTACTGAATGTATTTCAATGACCTTACAATAATATAGCTTCTACAGTACAGTAACAGGTTGGCTATAAATTTCACGCAAGTGAAACCGCGGGCTCATCTGTATACCATAATGTTTTCAGTAGAAGAAAAGTAATTAAAATATGGCTGAATCATTAAAAAATCGAACGCCGCCTTCTCTAAAGAACAGACGGACAACCTCATCAATATTGT